GGGGGGGGGGGGGGGGGGGGGGGGGGGCTATATATTGCCTTGCAATTCTTTGCCTTTTCCATTTTATAATGTTCTCAAAGAACGTTTCCTGCAGTTAAGATGGAGTATAACTCTGGTCTGATTTGAGAACCTTGTCCAATTTGCTCATTGTTCATCCATTTTTATTAGCAGCTTGCATCAACCTGAAGGTGGAACGTCCCTTAAAGGTGAATCTCAGTGAGGAGAAACTTGATCAGGTGCAGCAGTTTATAGAGGACTTGCTGTTGTCAAACAGGAAACAAGAGCAGGAAGCAGAGGTCAAGGACCAAGTGGCGAGCTGGAAATCTCAAGTTCAAGGTCACCAACCGGACCTTTTCCATGGTAAGGGTAAATCCTTACTGCTATGTGTCAACTGTAATTGTCTTATCAACTTATAATGCAAATCGAATGATGACTTTTCTTGGTTATACATGAAATATCTTGTATAAAGTAATCGCCTGCATCTGTAATGAAAAGCTATAAACTCTCACTTTTTGGAGAGAGACCGACATAATGTGATATATTCTGGAGCCATGTCCTTTCCATTTCCATGTGTAAGTATATTTACTCAAACCTGAAACAAGTTAATGTAAGCATGATCAATAGATGATTGATTTGAAAATAAAATCCTGGTTAAGACTTTAAAAACATTTATTTTTTTAAATGCATTAAAATTTTACTCATGTGCTATGGAAACTTGATATTTTTCAGTGGTGTTAGGTAAACTTGAAAGATTGGAACTACAGACAGAACAAATAGTAGTATCCATGGAAACGGGAACCGATTTCAAGAATTCTGGGATTATAGGTTGTGTTGATGGAACGAGGCTGGAGATGGGTCTCGATCAAGTCAGCACAGGTAATCATATAATCATGGTTACATAAACTTAGATACAAATAATACAACAGAAGGATTTAAGTATGTCAGATTGGCATGGGAATGGCGTATATTGTTCTGCCCTGTGGTAACTTTGTGTGATTATTTCGTTCAGAACTGCTTAGCAATCAGTGACATTGTGTAGATCAGTGTTTCTGTGATTCTGTCTGGAGATTTGTCTGTTCTCCCACACAATGTTGGCCATTCTCCATTTATGTACTGGTCCTACCCTATATCTTACCTATAATAGCATTAATCCCTGTTTATCTGTCGTTACCAGCTCAGTGTGATATCAGTGTTGTCAGGTATTGTAAATATTAGTGCGACTGACTTGCACAATAGATATCATGTACTTTATCAGTGTTGTCAGGTATTGTAAATATTAGTGTACTATATCAGTGTGAAGTAATACAATTGAAATGTTTAGTCTTCCTTATGTTAGACAAAGAAGAGGCTAATTGCATCCAGATCATAAGTTCATTATCTCCTGGTGACAAGTTCACTGGGGCCCGTATTCATGAAACCATTCTCATACTCAAGCATTGATTTTGTGCTCAAGCCTAATTTCTTGTTCTGGTTATAAATTAATAAAGATTTAATTTAAAAAATTAAAGAGCTTAAAGCCTTATACTGTTTTCAGTGTTAACATTTGACTTTTTGATTGTTTGACATGATTTTATTGAGTTACAAGAAAGTTATTTTGAGCACAAAATCCATGCTTGAGCATGAGAATGGTTTCATGAATACAGGCCCTGGCCTAATTGAGGCTATAGGATGGTAATGCATCCGTCTGTCCATCCGTCTGTCTGTCTGTCTGTTAATTTCATCACTCCACTGGCGTTATGTCTTGACATCTATAGATAAAACTGTACAGGAATACTAACATTGCCCCTCTTGTCATCTCTGTACGCCTCTATTCCTGGAATGAATTCGATGAAACTTCATAATGTGCAAGTTTGAATATGACCAGTGTCATCAGTCATTAAGGTTGAGCCCCTCTCACTTAAAACAATCTCACTCTTTGTTATCACAGCAGCCTGAGTAGGAACATTTTTCCAGACCGATGAATTATGAAACTTCACAAGTATGTTTACCTTTAACATGTAGCTATGAATACTGTGATCCACTAATGTTAAATTACAGCAGTAGAACTTCCTCCTGAATTCAGTGGTACCGTCAGCTCACTTTCTTCAGTCATAAATAAATGGATCCTTGGTAAGATTCTGTAGAAGAAGGGCAGTGGTACCGTCAGCTCACTTTCTTCAGTCATAAATAAATGGATCCTTGGTAAGATTCTGTAGAAGAAGGGCAGTGGTACCGTCAGCTCACTTTCTTCAGTCATAAATAAATGGATCCTTGGTAAGATTCTGTAGAAGAAGGGCAGTGGTACCGTCAGCTCACTTTCTTCAGTCATAAATAAATGGATCCTTGGTAAGATTCTGTAGAAGAAGGGCAGTGGTACCGTCAGCTCACTTTCTTCAGTCATAAATAAATGGATCCTTGGTAAGATTCTGTAGAAGAAAAAAAAATAAAAAAAATTCAAGGTTCTTATATACCGGTTTATCACAATTAGTTCATAGATCATCTCAAATCGGTTCACAAATTATCACCGAGGTTATAGGGCAACCAGCTAATACCTTTCTCAACTCCCTCGGCAGCGTACAACCAGTGCTGCCATTTAGGCGCTCACAGCTAGCATTCTACAATTCTAGCACTGCCCAGCCACGTACTCATTATACCCCCCACAATGAAGTTAGGGAGGGTGAGGAATCACTCTGTCTGTCCGTCCGTCCATCTGTCTGTAGACTAAAAATTGTACCTCCTACTCCTAGGTTTATGCATGGATTTTTATGAAACTTTACACACATGTTATACCACAAATGAACTTGTGTCTCTCAGAACGCCATTATGTTCCTCCAATATTTACCAGAGTTATGGCCCTTGACTGCTGTAGATAGCATATTACATTACTGGAATGGCTAATTATCTCGGAAACGGTAGGTATTTCGTTTACACATATACATTGGAATATTGTAGGGATTAATGAAAGCTAGTACTCGATCCACTTTCAAACTTCTGAGGTTGTGGGGTCAGAGGTCAAAAGTCACGAATGAATTACGTTACTGAAATGGCTTATTATCTCGGAATCAGTAGGTATTTTGTATACACCTATACAATTGAGTATCGTAGCTAATTATGCAGGCTATATTGTGACAAACTTCCAAAGTTATGTTACTGAAATGGCTAATTATCACAGAAATGGTAGGTATTTTGTATACACATACCTTGGAGTAAATGTAGCATTGATGCAGCGACATTGTGACAAAATTTTGAGGTCATTGAGGTCAAACACTAGTGCTGTTTGTCTTTTCCATCAGTCTGTTGGTACGACATCCAAGGTTAGCCTTTTTCTTGACCCTTGATCTTTCTATATGTTTTTTCACTTTTTAGGTCACCTGAGACAAAGTCTCAAGTGACCTATTGCGATCGCCTTTTGTCCGTCTCCGTCGTCGTCCGTCGTCCGTCCGTAAACAATTTACATTTTCGACTTCTTCTCCAAAACCCCTGAACCAATTTCAATGAAATTTTGCAGGGACCTTCCATGGACAAAGGTCAACAAAACTAGTTGCCGGTTTAGTCCTTAGCCCCCAGGGGCCTAAGGGGCGGGGCCAAAAAGGGTCAAATTGACTAAAATTTCAAAAATCTTCTTCTCCAAAACCCCTAAACCAATTTCAATGAAATTTTGCAGGGACCTTCCATGGACAAAGGTCAACAAAAATAGT